TAACTACTCCATTGTGTACCCAAGATCTGTACCTACAAACCTACAATTTATTATGAAATTTATTAAGTGTAAAATTTTGAATAAAATTCTAGACCCAATGGTAAGGAAAGGGACCCTATTGTTTACTCTGTAAATAAGTGGAGTGACCCGGAAAATGTTCCCACCTCGAGGGGCAAACTGAAATACTGCTTTATTTTAAAACAGTATTATTATCTGTGTAGTTTGTTTAGGAAAATAAATATTTGTTTTCTTATTGAGTGATTTATAAATTATCTGTTATGTTGATCGAATGATCACGAGTGCAGTCTACAAGTGAAAATTATTATGTTTTCGGCTTACTCACGTAATTATTTGACGAGGAACTCGACTAGTTTCAAGCCATGCTAGAGGCTCATATTCATGAGCAGCATTTCGCGAAATAATAATTTATTTAGTATGTCTCACGAAAGTTATAATACAAAATATGGGGGAATAGATTTATAATTTACATTGATGTACTAATACATCAGCTACCTGACAATAAAAGCCGAAAAGTAGCCTCTGTTACTGACTACAGATAACAGCTAGGCTACTTTTATTTTAGATATGTTTATGTATCTAGTATATGTTTATAACGAACAAATATACTTACATACATACATAACTTCATGCCTGTCTTGCATGGGGGTAGGCAGAGACTAGGGAACGCTAATTACTACGATTCCTACATACCTCTTCCGCTTTATCAACAGTCATCAATCTGTTCATGCATGCTCGTCGGTTAAGGGTACTTTTAATTTGGCCATTCTTTAATATATATATTTTTTTACAAATATACTTTCAAACTTATATTATTATAACATTAGTTGGGATTCCATAAACCAGTTTCCCCTCACACATTAATGTTTGACAACAAAAACATAACGTTAAGTGTTGTCGCTAAGTGTTCCACATGACGCGTGGGTAATTACTCCCCACTTATTCATACACATACTTAGGTACTTTAGAATGAGGCTACGTACTCTAATTTATAACATATTAAAAATTTTGTTATACTGCCTCTTTGGCCGAATGATCGCAAAAGCGACTGCCGGGCACGGAGTCTCGGGTTAGATTTCTGGATCGGGCAAAGCAATACTAGGTTTAAAAACAAACTCTCAGTAGTAACACAGTCTTTTTTTTGAGGGGGGAAAATCATCCAATGACTTCTCCCGCCCGGGTGAGGCGAGAGGGAGTGTCAGACTCTTACTGACTAAAAACCACCCCGTTCCTACTCCTGCATTTCGAGCCGGAGCCCCGGCAACTCGTTAAGTCTTCCGCAGCTCCGTATCGGCATCAGCCCTCTTGGGCCCCATCTATGTGGTCTCACGGTCTGGAATCGTGACCGGTATATGGCAATAGACTCACCCCCTATTACATGGGACGCATAACATAAATAGTGAAAAGTGGGTGTTACATTGTACAGTGGCATTAAGTGCCGTAATGTATACCTTTGCCTACCCCTTTGGTATGTTACATAATGTTACCCACTTCGAAATGATTATAAACTGACATTATAATTTTTGGAACCAAAACGAAAATTACTTTGATTGTCAAGTCCATTGCTACTACTATTTCAACGCATCTATCTATGTCTATAAATTGACAATAAACACCTACATCCTTACAAATATATTTAATCTAATCTCTCACTACTTAGATCCTAAAAGTTACACGCCAAAATAGCTCTTACAAGCTACAACATTAAATCCACAATCGGGAATTAATTTCACTCACCGACGCATAAACTGTCGGCTTCTACCGTCAAACCGTTTCAGATAAGATTAAAAAGCTTAGTTATGTTTTATCTTTATGCTTTGTACTTAAATATAAACCTTTGGACTAAAATTACCATTGTATTAAAATACTACATAAAATAAAATAAAAATAAAATAAGCCTTTATTGCTGTAGTTACAATAACAAGAATTACAGTTGTAACCAAAGTTGTAACAGAGTTAAATAACAAACTTAAAAACTACTCTAACATTATCTCAGCAATTGGTTTCTCTCCTCTTACAACAGCTTGTCTTTCGACAAAGGCCTCCTCTAAGGATTTCCACTTGTTTCTGTCCTTTGCTACACGTAACCATTCTGGCCCTGCTACTCGTTTCAAGTCGTCTTCCCATCGTTTATACTGTCTTCCTCTACTTCTCCTGCGGTCTCTAGGGTACCATTCCGTAATTATTCTGGTCCATTTCTCTCTCTCCTCTCTCAGCATATGTCCTGTCCAGCGCCATTTCAGCGTTCTATATACTGATAGGACATTTCCGAACTTGGTATTTTCTTTGATTTCTTTAAGTTGTATCTTATCCTTTCTTCTTACCCCCAGTACACTTCTCTCGATTCCATTTTGGCATATCTTTAATTTATTCTGCTGGTGTTTAGTTAAGGCCCAAGTTTGGCATCCATATACAAGACATGGCAGCAAACAAACATTGAAGACTTTTCGTTTCTCTGTCATAGGCATTTCTTCATTTTTCATTATTTCGCTTAGTGACCAGAATTTTTTCCAAGTATTTGCTATTCTTCTTTCAATTTCCTTCTGCATACACTCTGTCGGTGATACTAATTGGCCTAAATAAATATATTCGCTTACATATTCCAGCTGCTGATTGTCGATTGTAATAGCAGGTTTTTGTAGGGAATTGCTCATTATTTTTGTTTTTGAGATGTTCATTGTGAGCCCTGCATTAGCACTTTCATCTGACAATTGCTGTAGCATTCCTTCCAGGGTCCTGGGACATTCAGAGAAAATTATCAGATCGTCAGCGAATCTCAAATGACTCAGTTTTTCTCCGTTTACGTTAATACCGAAATTTTCCCAGTCAAGTCTCCTGAAGATCAACTCCAACACAGCTGAGAATATCTTCGGTGAGATCGGGTCTCCTTGACGTACGCCTCTTTCTATCGAAAACTCTTCCCCTGACCTTTCTAATTTGATATGCGCTCTGCTTTTTCCATAAATGATTTTTAGGATGCGTATGTACTTTTTATGGACCCCTTGTTGTTCTAGTGATTCCCATATGTAGTGATGTTCCAAGGAGTCAAACGCCTTATTAAAGTCCACAAAACCCAAGTAATATGTTTTGTTGTATTCCCTATATTTCTGCAGTATCTGGCGCAGGACGTGAATGTGGTCAATGGTAGAAAAATTACTTCTGAATCCAGCTTGCTCCTTCGGCTGGTTCTCATCAAAGGTGTTAGTTAGTCTAAATAATAGTATTTTAGAAAATACCTTGTATATATTAGACATCAAGCTTATTGGCCTATAATTATTAATATTTCCCTTGTCTCCCTTTTTGTGCAACAAAACTATGACCGATGTCGTCCAATCTTCTGGGATTACTTCTGTTGTTATTATTTCATTGAACAAGCTAGTCAACTTTGGGGCAATTCCTGGCATGGATATTTTCAGCAGTTCGTTGGTGATTTGGTCGAGACCTGGTGCTTTGCCTAGCTTCTGTGTAGTGATAGCCCTTTCAGTTTCCTCTATTAGAATGGGTGGAATAGGTTCATTTCCATGCGTGTCCTCCATGATAGTCGCAATAGGTCTTTCATTTTTGCATTTATACAGCTCTTTATAATATTCCGTAGCAATATTTAATATATCTTTCCTTTTTGTAGTACTCCTGCCATGTTTATCCTTCATATTTGGCATCCAGTTCTTTTTAGGTTCTAGTTCTTTGAATGCACTCTTCACTCCGCCTGTTTTATTGATGTGATACTGGAATGTGATTGCTCTTTTTTGTTTTCTTTCTTTCCTAATATTTTTGTTGATGTTTTTACTTATTTCTGCAATCTTTGTCCGTATTATTTTGTTTGTCTTGCTTTGCAAAAGTAATTTCCTTTCATTGAGTAATTGTAATGTTTCGGCGGATAGGGTGAGTTTATTGTTTGTATGCACTTTCCGGGTTTCTTTTTTGAGAGTATTCACAAAATCGCAGTATTTCGCTTCAATTGGCTTGTTGTATTCTTTGCCTTCACTTTCGAGCATTTTCTTTATACTGTTTATTAGGTCTTCATTATTTTTACTGTCTATATAGGGTATCGGTCCAGTGTGCAGCCTTCGACTTTTCTTAGTATGAGTTCCTCGAAACGTAGCACGAACCATTTTGTGATCTGAATTGAAGTTAAAATTATGTAAAATTTCTAGATTTATAAAAAGTTTAGGTTTATTAGTCATAACATAGTCGATTTCGTTTTTGAAGAGTCCATTTGGGGAAGTCCACGTCCATTTCTTGTTCTTTTTCTTTTTATAGAAGCTGTTCAGAATACTAAGTTTATTTTCGATTCCAAAGTTAACCAATCTCCTTCCGTTTTTACTTCTAATACCACTACCGTATCTCCCAACCGCATACTCTTCACCACTTTGACATATTCCAATTTGTCCGTTGAAGTCACCCATTACTATTATATTTTTGTGAGCAGTATCAACTGTATTTTGTAATTTTTGATAAAATTCTTCAATTCGTTCATTACCTTGTTTGTTATCCGCTTCAGTTGGCGAGTAGGCTTGGATAATTGACCATAATTCATCTCTGTTATTTTTTACGGGAAGTTTGATATTAAGTATTGCTATTCTATCAGTTATTCCTTTAATTTCTTCTATTCGGTTAGTATGTTTCTTTTTTATCAAAAAGCCAACACCATATTGTCCTGGTGTTTCTCCTTTATAATGTAGTATATAATTTCCGTGGTCTTCTATTTCTTCTCCTAGTCTTCGTACTTCACTTATTCCTACAATGTCCCAGTTAATTTTGTTGAATTCTGTTTCTAGTTCGATAAGTTTCTCTGGGGTTCTAAGTGACCGAGTATTAAGCGTGGCTATGTGTATGTCACCGCTATTTTTCGTTTGTCGCTTGTCTTTCCTTAGAGGGTGTTGGTCATTTTCCCCCACGATGACCAATCGGCTTGGGGGAGGGTTGGTTTTGAATGCTGGTTGTATTTCAATGGTATAGTTTTGTATTTTCCGGTTGCCGAGATTTAGTTGCTACTGTTGTTTATTTGAAGAAACGTTAGAAAGAGAGGTAGATCTCATTCTCATTACGTCGAATGCGTTCGTTCTATTGGCTTTGAAGGATATGGCTTGTTGTTTTTTTGGCTGAACATCTGAGGAATTTGGAGAAGAAGAAGTTTCTCTTTTTCTTTTATCGTTGATTGGATCATTTTCCTTTATTACGAGCTTGTCATATTTCAAAAATGCTATTTTCCCTTTCTTCCTTTCCTCCAATAACTTTACCTGCAATGCCTTTCTTTTTTCCAGAACTTCCCTTGGATAGTCTTCAGTAATATATATCTCCTTAAGATCTTTCTTTTTTCTCATTATTTCATTCTTTCGCCATTCGTTTACGAATGAACACAGTACTGGCCTTGGTTTATTACTTTCTTTTGTTATTTTCCCTAATCTATATATTTTGTTTATTGCATTTTCATCCATATCAATATTTACGTCCCTTTTAAGGATGTTCTTAATACTATTTATTAATTCCATTGCTGTTCTTTCTTTTTCATCCACACCAAATATAATTATATTGTTATTTCGTTTTTCTCTTTTTAGATATTCTATTTCTTTCTCCTGAGTTTCTATTTTTTGTTTTAAGAATTTATTTTCTTCCAGAATCGGCATTAATTTGTCATCCATTCTTGACATTATGCTATTTGTGATGGTTTCGGTAATTTCCACCGATTGTTGTTGCATTTCCAATTTCATTTTATCAAACAAAAGTTGGAATTGTGTTTCCATCTTGTTAAGTTTGCTTGAAACGAAACGTAATCTTAAGATAATTCTCAACTTGGCAACACAGACCTTTGAATAAAATAATATTTAGTAACTTTTACTATTTTTATTGTATGTAGGTATCTATGGCAAAATGTTAGTGACTTCACTAGAACTGTCAAAGTCGAAGAGATACGAGATTCGAGGAATAGTCTATGGTCTAACCTTGAAAAAGTTGTTTGCGAAACTTTCTTCCTTATTATTTAGTGTGGCGTAAAAAGTTGATATTCCACTACTTCCAGGTCTTCTTTCTGTTCCTGCACGGTGTTATTTTGAAGTATGAAGTGATTATAAGTTATATAAATTTTAGTTTTAGCGCGACGTAACTGACGTAGTTGATTATGCTACGAAGTCCGGAACCGGAAAAAATACTACATAAAAAGCCTTAAATAAAAGGAAAAATCTTTAAATCTGAAATGAGGAAAAAGATTCCAAAAGACATAATAATGTGTACTGAGATTTAAATTTTTCAATTAAAGAAGAATGTTTTTCTAAGTGTGAGAGACTCATGTTTCTGCACGAATAGGCCGGCTCGGCCGGAGTGATACCATGGCCTCATCAAAACCGATGTGGAACAACGCTTGCGTTGTGTATCGTCATGTGAGTGAGGTTACCTTGCCCAATTACCCCCCCCCCTCTTTCCCAATCTCCCCAATCCCTGAATCCTTAACAATCCTCAAATGTATAATCCCTAAAAGGCTGATAAAGCACTTGTAGCAAGGTAGGCAAATTGTATGCGCGCGTGATGTATGCTTTGGACGACCAGTTACTGCGCACTGGTCAGGGCGAACGGTTCTCTCTCTCTGGAATCACGCGAAATATACTCGGTTGACATAACCCGATTTTCATTGACTCCAGAACCCTGAACCAGAAGGAGCAGTGCTCAAGTAGGGATTGCCGTGAACATTACCCGTGTTGTATAATCCTTAAACACTTGTAATGCCTCTGGTGTTCCAGGTGCCCATGTGCGACACCGATTGCTTACCACCAGGTGATCCGTCTGCTAGTTTATAAGCTTATTAAGTTTTGTCCTCTTCGAACACCAAAGAATAATTATATGGATGGACGCATCTTCTAATTTCCTTAAAAAATTTAACACCCACTACCCGTTATGGTCTTCCGCCCGAATACTGAAAGCCTACTCAATTTTAAATTGTACTTAAATATCGTGCCATCTCTGTCATTTTACAAGGAATCAGTAGTGACAGAACTATACTTAAGTGCGACTTACAATTTAGTGGCGTTTTAGTATTGTATTTGGATATATGCCCCATTAAACAGGTACAATAATCTCCTGCTTGGCGTGAGTTTGAGCTGTCTCAAGCAGAAGCTTAGCTTCTGTTCTTGTCAAGTCAAATGTTTATTTCGATACTCGGCTCTTAGGAGACTTGCGGTAAGAGGAAGGGCGAGCCCACAATACTGCGCTGCGGCGTCGCATTGTAAAAATCTCCGACAACGCCCAACGCATCGTCGAAATTTCCGATGCGCTGACGCAACATACAAATCTGCAATGCGACAACGCGACAAACTTTTAGCTATTGTCCACGTGTTTCTTGAATGGCGGATTACGACAAATCGATCACCTCATGTCCTTAATTCAGTACCACTAGCAAACGTAGGACCCATGTAGTATGGTCCATGTGTCACTAGAAACTGAATTAGCGTCTTGTGGTACGATGTCGTATGCGATACATTGCGTCATCGCATTGTATTGCTGTGTTTTGGCCTCGCCCTAATTGTGACGTCAAATGTATTCTTCCTTGCCCTCACCACTTTGCTAAGACTCTGTGGTGACACATTAGTGCTAAAACTGTTCCTTAATAGATTACAAGATCTTCTCAAATAGACACCTTCTCTTAGAAGATATGAGATGGCTTACATAGAAATATTCTTAATGTCGAAATGTTTTTTTTTTGTTGACAGGGTCTGGAGATCAAGGGTCAGATGGTATTCTGCTCTGAGTCAGACTCTCTCCTGTTCGTTGGGTCACCATTCCTGGATGGACTTGAAGGTCTCACTGGCAGGGGTCTCTTCATATCAGATATACCACTGCATGATGCCACGAGAGATGTCATTCTGGTTGGCGAACAGGCTCGAGCTCAGGTGAGAATTTTTGATTAAAACCTTTTTAGTGATATCAATATTTTACTTATTTGGAAATCTTCTTTTTAAAAGAACACAATGATCAATTTGGGACTAGATTAGCTTTTTAAACTGTCAAACACCAAGCGGTCACCGGTGACCGCAACCTATTGTTCTATAATTGTGTCTACAAAACCGGTACTCGACGAGTTAATGACATTTCAGGGTCATAATTTATTTGAAATAATTCTTTTAGAAACCAAGTTCAAAAAACCGATTTTTACTTTTGAAGTCGAGTAATTAATATACTAACACCTTCTCTTAAGTGTATCAAACACTTTTCTGAAAACCGCATCAAAATCTGTTCAGCCAATCGCGAGATATTTGCACACAAACACACATACATGTCAAACTGACAACCTCGTTCTTTTTTGAAGTAGCTCAAATATTTTTCTTTAAAGAACACACCTACTTCAGGGTGGATTCTAGTTACATGTACACCTTTCTAATTCAGGAAGAGCTGCTATAGTTTTCTATAAAAGAACGAAACTATGTAAAAATACCAATAGACAATTTGAATATTTATTAATCCGAAGATACTAACAGTCTGATCATATCATTCATATTTATAACAATACAAACTCAAAACTTAAATCACTGCAAATAACTATAAACAGCAATAGAAAACTTTAAAAAACATTTGCATATGACAATTTTCTTCGTCGATTCTCAAACAAAATATCAAAGAATTGGGAACTAGAAGTAGTTTTTAAAGTGTCGTTTAAAAGTGACACTTGTTGAACATCTTCAGGCCTTCTGTCTATAGTCTACAGCAGTGTGCTTGAAATGTGGTTTGTGAGGACTAGAACTTGGTTCAAGGGGTCGATGACGACCTTGTTAATGGTTCAAGTGATATCGGTTAAGAAAACATTGATATTATTTTTAACGCGGATTAAAGTAATATGGTCATATTGACACAGCAGAGATCTTGATTTGGATACTAATTTATATTTCACTTCTAAAGAATTCGTACATATTTTATTGTAAGCCTTACATGTTCAATTACAAAATAGAAAACAACTTGTACATTATTCAGAAAACATTTCAAAAACATACAATCGAATTGGCCTATTTAAAATGATGCCGCATAACTATGGCAAATAATATCTATTCCAATAAATATCCTTTTTTAACTAACTAGTCCTACATTTTGCTATAATGATTATAAATGTTTTTGACAATACAACAAACATCATAAAATTAAATATATTATAATTATACTAATTCCTTTTTTCATCCCACAAAGGACGGCCTCCGCAGACGCATGGATAAGCTGAAGAACTCAATAGAAGAAGCCAGCAAAGCGGTTGACAAGGAGAGACAAAAGAATGTTAGCCTTCTGCATTTAATATTTCCACCCCATATAGCCAAGAGACTGTGGTTAGGTAAGTTTGTAAGTCAATTATCTGTTCCTACACTTTGAAATTGATTTATGTATGGTTTAATTTAAGTACGCACTATGTTTGATTAAAGTTTCCTTTAGGGGAATTGGAGTGAGTTAGGCGTTAGTGGGAATTTAGCGAGTCGAACTTGTTTTGTGGCGCAGTTCACTTGAATCTGCTTGATTGCGTTGTCAGGCTTGAGAGTGGATACGAAATCTTAAAATAACTTTCTCCTGACCTTCTCAATGAGATTGGAGTTGGCACTAAGTAACTGAATTGGTTTGTTTTGTTTGATTTTATGTGGTATCTACCCTTCAAACTTGTTTTACGACAGGTTTGCTAGATTTAATGTAGGTCTTTGGAGTTTGGAAGTACGAGTAGTTTCAAACTCTATTTTGGTGATACGGGTATTAACAGCTGTCAATTTTTATACTATAGCCTGCATCGAATCACTTTTCCTACAAATCGAGTTTTAGAAATGTCTCCAAAAGCGTTTATTGGCCACCTATCTGCATCGTCCTTTAAAAAAACATTAACACTGAATACTTCTTTCTCTATATCTCCAACAATACCCTTACTTGCTTCGACGTCTTCCAAATGCCTTATGTGGTGAACTTTATTCTTTAGTATACCACACATAAGCACCTTAGATTGCCCCTTTTACACCACAAGCCCTTAACAAGTCGTAAACCTGAAGCGTCTCGGTTTGTGACATTTGTTTCGGCACGCCGACGTGACATCGTCTTGTCACGCAATATTGTCGTACAAACTCAATGGCAGGGATATGAAATACTTTGAAAATGTTATTTTCTTTGTAAAGAATTTGTGTTGAGTAATTTGGTATTTCTTGTTTGTTTGCTTTAAGTGTTGTTAGGGTTTTGTTCTTAGTTGTGTAATGGAATTGTTTTCAGTTTACGGCTTTAACTTTACCTTAACAGTATCCTGAGCATGATTGCGAGCAGACTGGACTGCATATATATGGGACGATGTAATGCCATTTCCCATGGATTAATGTAGGATGTAATAATATAAAACTTTTATTGCACTATAAAACAATTGTGATTACATACTAACATAGATGTAAGTTTCACTAACATTTTGTGAGTCTTGGTTACTTTAAATAAATGATTTATTATATATATTATATTAAATCATATGAGATTTGTAACAACCAAAAACAGGTTTTAGAATTATACATATATTCCTAAAGCTTAGTATTTTTAAATAGGTACCTATTTTGTACCACGTAAATTATAGCTCTAGATACAGTAATTCCTAAAATACATACATACATAACTTCACGCCTGTCTCCCAGATACTATTGAACGCCAATTCCTACATACCTCTTTAGCTTCATCAACAGTCATCAATCTTTTCATGCATGCTCGTCGGTTAAGGGTACTTTTACGGCACGTAGTAACTATGTTATAATTAGAAACATAGAAGTACACCATGCAACAACCTCAATAACCACAATTGAGTAATAAACAATGGTAAATGGTAGACAGTAAATTAATTACTAAGTTTAATCACAAATTGTGTGCACTTTACAAGACAGGTGCGCCCAACGCTTATAATCCCATTTAGTTTACAACCGCATCGCTGAATAAATTAATGAAAATTATGTTCTGATGGATATTAATCATTTTGCGTGAAAGCATAGCTATGCATAATATAGCTAGAGAATGTAGGTAGGTGGTAGGACGTTTTTGGGTCAATTTTTGGTTATAAATCTCGGGTTAGTTGTAGTTGTTACGGTGTAAAGTTGTGTCAAGAATAAAAATAGCCTAAATAAATCTAAAATCTCTTTGATTGTCCAGGTTTTTAAATATGGTCAGGGAATTAGGAATGCGCTGTTTCAGACCCTATGATAAGCGGAAGTAAATAAATTGGACACAATCTTCACGATATGAGATAAAAGACAAAACTGGTGAATAATAATTATTCGCTGGGTATATTTTTTTTTATTTTGAGCAGGAAATTTAATATGTCCCCCCTTGGGTGAAGCGAGAGACAGTGTGAAACTCTTATTAACAAAATACCACTCCGTTTCTTTTGCTCCAAGGCGAAGCCTCAATAACCCATTAGGCCGTCTGCAACTCTAACAATTTCTTGATATCAAAAAAAATCTCTGTTTTCATAGGTGAGAAGATCGAAGCAAAAAGCCACGATGACGTCACAATGCTGTTCAGTGATATAGTTGGTTTTACATCAATATGTGCTACTGCTACTCCTATGATGGTGATCGCTATGCTTGAAGACCTATACAGCGTGTTTGATATATTCTGCGAGGAACTTGATGTTTATAAGGTAAGTGATCGGACACATTAATGCCTTGTTCGTACTATGCTAGGATTTTAGTCAAGTAGCGAGTATTTAGTAACTCTCTCTCGCTTCGATTTTGGAACAGAAGCAAGAGGAATATAATAAATACTCGCTACTTGACCAAAATACTAGCATAGTGTGAAAAAGGCATATGGGCCGATTTGTTAATTCTTAACTGTACCTCTAGAATATAATTGACATATGACAGTTTTTAGTATGGAAGAATTATCAAATAACCTGGAGTTAAAATTTATGTAAGCATTGAATAATTAGCCCTTAGGTATTTATTATATTTGGACCCAGTTTTGATAGAAGTATTCTTTTAATTTGAACCCGTTTAAGACATGTACCTGTGATTTGCAACAATGGAGCGTGCAGCAGCGTCCTTTAAAGTTTCAATGAGTTAAATAAGCTGCATGACAATTGCCAAGTATAGGGATTGAAAGATCAGCAATTAGTATTTATTATCCTGTCGAGCGTCCGCGTTCTTTATGATCCAACGGGTGCACACGTGGCATTTGGAGCATTTTTGCTTATGATCCACCGGGTGCTCATAAGGACGCTCGAGGGGTGTTATGGGTTACGCTAATTGGTTACTAATAAGCCGTCTATGCTTGATAATGATAATAAAATTATGTAAATAATAATTGGGACTAAGAGAAATTAAGACTGACAGAAATACGTAGAAAAAGAGAAGTGAAACAAATTGATATTGATGCCCACTTTTATCTCCCTAATTAAACTTTAACACTGGTTGACAATGCAATCTAAACCAATGGGATGTAGACCAAAACTTTGTTAAAGGTTTTTCGCAAGGGGTTGGACTGAGGTCAAAGTTGGGAGAAAGTTTTAAATTTAAAAGGGGTGCGATTCACTGCCACAAATAGAGGTAAAAGGGTTCTCCTCTTTTTTCATTGGCTGTTTCGTAAAAAACTAAAGTCAAATGAAAGGTTATAATAAGTCTATTTATTTGTTACATAGATACATACCGCCTCGTTGTCCGAGCGGTCGCAAGTGCGACTGACGGGCAAGGAGTCTCGGATTCGATTCCCGAGCAAAAGCAAGCAAAGTATTAAAAATGGGTTTTTAAAAAAATGACTGGTTGTCGCGTTACGTACAGCAAAGTATAAACTACTGGGTTTTTTTTTAAAAAATGTCTAGCTGCCGTGCAACTTTCAGCGGATTCGATTCCCGCACGGAGCAACTCATTATAATAATATGATCCACAAATTGTTGTCCCAGGTCCAGACCTGGTGTCATGTGTCTGTAAACTTGTATGTTTGTAAACGCACCCACGACACAGGAGAAAATCCTAGTAACTATGGAGCAATGTCTTTTTTAACAAAAACATTAAAAAAAAATAAGTTTCGTTTCTAAGACCATCGTCAGAGATCAGGACATGATACGTCTCTCTGTTTAATTTCCTCGAAATATTTACTCAGGATAGTACTTCATCATGTACGTGCTAATTTTTGACCTATACGTAAAGATTGCTGTTGTTTAACAATTTTATTAAACACATGGTTAAAAACCCTTATCCTCACATACATTACTGTCAAAAACTTGTAGTTAAGCTCTCTTTTGATTTTCAAATTAACCTAAACAGCTTCGTAATTTGAAACAAGGAGCAAAATTACGTTAGCAACTATTAGAATTGAATTTTGCCTTTACAAAACAGAATACTTGACTCTTTGGACGTTTGTTCATTTGTTTTAAAAGTCTTTTTGTGTTGTAATAAACAAACAGGTTTTAAGTCAAGATTTTTCGGAATTTCTAATCTAAATGCCTTATCAAAAGCCTCCACAATAAGATTAAGCCATTCTTCTGAAGAATTGGACCTCTAATTTTCTTCGAAAAGGATAAACCTTCAAGTGTCTCTTCACCTGTTGTCTTATCGTTTTCGTTTTTAATTAAAACATCAACGTTTTAATCAAGTGACAAGAGCCTTTGTAGATCAAATAATACAAATGAAGTGAAAGCAGTGATCCGTATACTAATACAATGGTAATTAAGACATGATCATAATTAATTTTCTACGTGATTAATGATCTCGTCGTGGGGATAATTTAGCTTGTAATGTAATTGGAATATATTGCGTTGAAAAAGCATTTTTAATGAAAATTTTGTAGAATGTGTTTTGAAAAATGACGTGCTGAGTCGACATTTTCTTTTGTAATTTATTGAAATGAGTTTGTTTGGATTCAGTTTTGTATAATGTTAGCATATATTTAAATCTTTTTGGTCTGAGTCTAGATGATTTACGTTTTTATCTGGTTGTTTGTCTAGACTTTTGTTTTCCTTGTCTAGGTGGAAACAATAGGCGATGCATACTGCGTGGCAAGTGGATTACATCGTAAGATAGATACTCATGCGCCACAGATTGCTTGGATGGCATTGCGCATGGTTGAGACGTGTGCCCAGCATTTGACGCACGAAGGAAACCCCATAAAGGTTAGTACCTACGTTTGTAAGTTCTTGCTATGAATAAATATTATTCCATGATTGGTACATTGATTGAAAAAGTTGATACTGTGATTTCAGCCACATAGATAATGGTAGCTACAAGTACCATCGAGTGATTTGTGTGCTCATAAAAATTGTGTTGTTTGTTCAATGTTTTGTGCAACGATTAATATTAAATACATTTTTCGTTAAAAGTGTAATAATTCTTAGAACTAGTTCTTTTTTATGAGAAAATTTCTTGTTCTTGTCATATACGAGTTTTAAACTGTAGTAATTTCGTTGTCCTTAAGGTTATTTTCTTTTTCTTTCTCCTTGACTGAATATTGGTGTTACATTGTTCTCACATAAGTAATTGAACCAACGAAACAATGTAACATGTGTGTGAAAAAGAGTAACCTATGGAATTTCTTACTCGTTCTTCTCCATATAAATCTACACGTTCATCCATCATCCATCAACAGCTTATAAATGCCCACTGCTGAGCAAAGCCTCTTCTCACACGGAGAAGGTTAGAGCGTTAATCACCACGCTTGCTCAATGCGGGTTGGCGATTTCAAACTTATAATTAGAAATTATAAGTCCAGGTTTCCTCACGATGTTTTTCCTTCACCGTTTGTCAGTGGTGTCTATTAGAAAGTACATATAACTCGAAAAAAGTCTCATTGGTACTTGCCGTTGGTAGTCACATTGTAAATAGTAAATCTACACATTGTATATGTTTTAAGTTGAAAATAGTTTCCTATTAATGTAAATAAAGAGTTTTTAACTATGGGACGCCCAAATAGTGAATCAATTTGCTAAATGACTGACCGACATATGGACATTTATTTAACATATATTTTGTTTTGGTGTTCAAAAGTTCCTCCCTGGTCTAATTGAAATAAATGATTTTGACTTTGACTTTATAATTTTAGCTACACAAACAGCAGATTGTTAGATGTGTATAAAACATTGATTAACCTCTGCGACCTCCTTAATGAGTTTAAGGTAAACGCAGTTGTTTACATTCTGAGGCAAGTTGTTGGTTCTTTGAGGGAAGTAGGTTACGTCAGCACATAGCCACAGACTTTATAGTTTCACACTATTCTTTAATTATTTTCTTAATTACGTTGGTACTTTTCTTGGTCTTTTATGTACTGAAATAGTTATTCTAGAGTCTTAAAATTTTTGTTCATTCTTTTTATATATGAATCTTTGCTATAGAACAGATTCTCACTTGGACTTTGGAATTTTATTTTGTTTCTATAAAATATGGTGGTTTCCTAAATTTTATGTCCGTCTGGTACATTAATTTAAATCTTTAGACACATATTTTTTCTTTTCTCATAAAATTAAATACTTTCGACGTTATATCAATTTGAAATATCGTGTGACGTCATAGCGTACCACATTTTGTAGCACGTTATGACGTAACGACCTCCTAAACTTATCGCCATTGTGTCTAAGTATTGCAACTTAATATGAGAAAATAAAAAAAATTCGTGTCTAATATTTTCATTATCTAACTGACGGACTAATTAGATTTTTAATTTTTGATACCCTGGAAACTACCCAATCATGCTGTTTATATTAATGTTTCTTCGAATTTTGTCAAATTTTGGCTTTGCCAAAACTTAAACCTAAGGTCCTAATACCAATTTACATTAACTTATTTTAGGCACAACTCAAATATCTCATTATTTATTAGGCAATGTGTTTTCTTTTCTCCTTCTAGATGCGCATAGGCCTTCACACTGGTACAGTACTAGCTGGAGTGGTCGGGAAGACTATGTTGAAGTACTGTCTATTCGGACACAATGTCACGCTTGCCAACAAGTTCGAGTCCGGCTCTGAACCCTTGAAGATCAACGTCAGTCCGACTACTTATGAGTAAGTTTTTAATTAATTATTTTATTTTATGTGCTAAATTTAATTTCATTATCATGTACTTGATAGAGCTGAGACTTTTAACCGACTACAATAATAGGAGGTTCTTAGTTTGACCTCTATTTATGTAGGTATATGTGTTTGTGCGAGATTGTCTCGCAATTGGCTGAACCGATTTTGATGCGGTTTTCAGAAAAACATTTGTTACAGTTAGAAGGAGGTTTTAGTGTATTAATTATCGACTTAAAAAAGACGGAGTTGAAGTCGGTTTTTGTTAATTGTAGTTTATCATGCTGTTTTCACAATACTTTGTCTAAATTAGCTTGACGCCAAAACGTATCTTTAGTAGTAAATAAATAAAATCGTTTTAAATTATATACGTTACCTGGTATTACCTAAAAGGGTATAATTTGCTATGTTTATACGTTGAGCTACAGCTAAATTTATCCATAAACATTTTTGCATAATTAATAAACAGAACACTGTCACCATCAAAAGATTTCCTCAGTACCTAGAACACAAAGAGGTTAAGACTAACGGACCATTACTATTACTAAATAATATTGTATCCAATGTCCAATCTACCTAAATATTAGTCCAATCCAAATACTAGTTCATTCAGATGAAATGGAATTCTATTGAATGGGAGATACCTCAAGCTTCGAATCTTGGAAAGCCAGATTGGTGCTTTACGATAGTCTATAGAAATGTTCTTATTGCCAGGAGTTGGGTTGATGACGGAGTATGAACATTATAAATCTAATTAGTCTATCAATTAGATAATGAAAAAATATTAGACACGTATTTTTTCTTATTTTGTTGTTTATGGCTACAATACTTAGATAAAACGAATCAAAGTTTGGAAGTGGGAATTTAAACGTCATTTCTACGTATAAAACGGTCATAGAAATGACGTCACGCGATATTTGAATATAATTATCGTATTTTTTATTGATGCTAAATAAATGTTTCCTTTATTTCTTTCTTTCAATCATGTTTTATAATAGTACTTAAGAAGGACTCCTAAACGGTGTCGAATTCATATTCTTTAAGTTATGTTTTCTACGCAGTTTACAATTGTGCTTATTTATTCATAACATAACATCACGCCTTTTATCCCCGAAGGGGAAGGCAGAGGTGTACATTATGCCGCTGTACAATGTAACACCCACTTTTCACTATTTATGTTATGAGTCCCATGTAATAGGAGGTGAGCCTATTGCCATATATCGGGCACAATTCCAGACTTCGTGCTACTACTGAGAATTTATAAAAACCTAGTAGTACTTTGCCCGACCCGGAAATCGAACCCGAGACCCCTTGACCGGCAGTCGCACTTGTGACCACTGGGCCAACGAGGCATTCAATATTTATTCAGTAAAGCAAAAAAAGTCTCTGTACCTACTAAGTATAACCTCTCTTTTAATAGATAAACAACGTTATATAGAGGCCGTGTTTATGTCAAAAACTTAGAATATACCCCTTTCCAACCGAGTTAGAATGAACGTGAGTTTCGACTTTACAAAATTCTAGGTAAATATGTAAACAACTTTAGCGGACGCAACCGGCATCGATCTATCGTGACACTATCTAAGAATGAAACAAAAAATAGTTTTGCACTTTGCGCACACGTTTCGTCCTACCAGTTCGTTGAAACCCGCATGAGGGATGGCTGCGTCTTTTAATCCCGGCGCCTCTGCACGTAAGTAGATACATTTTTGGTAATTGTATTGTATTATTAATATTTATTCGTTGTTTTTCAATAAAATACGAGTTTATCTAGATATAATCATCAAGTTTTTGTAAAGCAACGTATTAGTTTTGTAATAATTTATCGTCAAAATTAAACACGCACGATCATGCAACATCGGTCGTACGACGTGATATTATAACATTTCGATGTTTTGTGTTTTATTTGTTATTTTGATTCCATTTAGTATTAAAATTGTATTTTCTTTTGTATTAGGGGCTCGAATTACGGATGATGCAATATTTGAACAATTGATGGATGGAAATCTATCGGAGATTGAAGATTTTAGCGACAATGACTTGGATTTTGAACCAAATAATCTGTTTGATCAATTGGATTGCGAAGATCTCTGCGATGGTGATATTCCTAATGAAGATGAAGAAATCAGTCATCAATTATCACCATTGATATGTTCACCAGTGATACAGCCTCCGTCTACATCGATGCCGCAACCTTCTGCTTCAATGACGCAACATCCTTCTCCAACAACGACTCAATCTCAAGCAGCAGTACAAGCAGTGAGATCGCGAAGCTTATTGCAATACAAATTATCATGGGATGTGTTCCTTATCCTCGACTGCCTATGTATGGAGGGTTGGTACTAGGTTGGAAATTATCGGCGGTTTAATGTCACGGGACAGGTTTTTTACCCTTCGTAATGCACTACACGTAGTTGATTCAGATTCACCACCTCCAACTGAAATTGTTAATCCACTATGGAAGGTTCAACCCATGATCGATCAAATTAAACGTGCGTGTAATAAATTAGAAAGGGTGCGGCGGATTCTACTCTATTGATGAGCAGATGATACCATTTACAGGCCGCTGTCAACTACGTCAGGTAGTGAAAAACAAACCTAGGCCTGTAGGGTTTAAAAACTTCGTCCTCACAACTAGTGAGGCTTGATGTTGGATTTCGACATATACAGAGGTGCAAGGACGATGTTTGGTGATACGAATCTTGGCCTCGGTCCTTCGGTAATCCTACATTTATCTAAAAGTATTCCTCCTGGTAGCTGTGTGTATCACGATAGATATTTCACCACAGTACCTTTAATTGAAGAAATGAACAAGTTAAATCTGCATTCTACCGGGACAATAATGTTAAATCGTATCCCTGACCGAGCTACAATAAAATTTAAAACGGACGTTCAAATGACTCGTGGAGAAAGCCAACAATTTGTTTGTGAACCTACTACAATCGTAAAGTTGAAAGATAATAAATCCGTGTTACTCGCATCAAACTGTACTGGGTCCGGTGCAACTACTCTCGTAAAAAGGTGGGATAAAGCTATGAAACGGTACGTCGACGTAACTGCTCCAAATATAGTAAGAAATTATAACCAACACATGGGAGGAGTAGATGTACTGGATCAACAAATGGAGTATTATCGAACATTTATTAAAACCAAAAAATGGACCTTAAAAGTATTGACGCATTTTTTTGACCTCGCGCTGGTAAACTCTTGGAGGCTGTATAGAATCGACTGCAACAGTAATAATTATGCAAGGAAAGACACTAAGCCTTTACTGGATTTTCGCTTGGATGTGGCGGATGCTTTATCTTCTACACCAAGTAGAGCTCGAAGGCATAGTGAAGATGAAGATGAAGATCAGTCTGCAGCTCCGCGTCGAAAATATAAAATATATAGACCAGCCAACAGACCGTCGGCAGAGAAACGATATGATGGATATGAGCATTTTTCAACCAGCGACGACATAAAAGCGCCAAGGACCTGTAGGTTGGAAACTTGCAGCAGTCGTTCAAAAATTAGGTGTAAAAAATGCGACGTCTATTTATGATTATCTCGTAATAAAAAATGTTTTAAAGTATATCATTTGTGTACACAATAATTATGTTGATCTCATTGATTATAGTGACTAAAAATTAAGATTTTGTTGATTATGTAGAGGTAGAAGTAATATACATAGTTTATTTTTGTTGTAATTTAATAAATTAAGAAGATCTCATTTATAACACGTCATTTTATAAATACTCATACTGTTTATTTTGTAATAAAGACTAATTAAAGTTATTAGAAAACTTAAATATCCATGTTTTATTTTAATTGATAATATTTATTTCATTAATTCGTGTTTAATAATTGATTAATTACATATACTCACGATCGTGCGACTTGCAAATTATTCCTGAACCTCACGTATGTGAGGGTCTGATTGCTGAAGACCACCTTGCAAGAGATTTTTTTCAGTATTTTTTCCAGGGTCTCTGAACACTTTGCAAACTATGACTAAGTTTTTACTGATCTATGTGAATTTTTTTATCCCCGGTTGCAAAGGGATACAAAAAAGCAATTAGGTCAAGTCTAGCCAAAAACAAAATACCTAAAGTGCTGTCACTAAAGGCTTTTACTAGATAAAATTCTGGGTAAAGTTTCCGTTGTGATCCATTAGTTTTGGCGTGAAAGGGTGCGCTTTATGACCAAAGTGGCACATATTTTAATGGTTTTATATGTGGCTATGAAATATACGATATGACACTGTAAACTTTGCCTTTTCATTTTTTAATTGGAGTGGAGTTTCTAGTTGTATTTTAATGGGAGGTTTGGTTTTCATAGTTTTTTTTTATGGCATAGGCCGTTAGCTGAGCAGACGAATCACCTGATGGTAAGCAATCGGCGTCGCCCATGGACACCTGGAACACCAGAAGCGTTACAAGTGCGTTACCGGCTTTTTGGAGATTAGGAGTTTGAGGATCGTTGGAGATTCAGGGATTGGGGAGATTGGGGAAGAGGAGAGTAATTTGGCCTCCGGTAACCTCACTCACACGACGAAACACAACGCAAGCGTTGTTTCACGTCGGTTTTCTGTGAGGCCGTGGTATCACTCCGGTCGAGCCGGCCCATTCGTACCGAAGCATGGCTTTCCCACATAGTTAACGCAGATCATTAATTTTAATTACACATTAATTATTTAGTTTCTACTGAATTAAAAATAGACTCTTTTAACAACTGTGTATTAGAAAGAATATGTACAAAAAAATTGTAATAATAGTTTTTAATGGGTACAGAAATTATATTCATAAATGAAATTAATATAGCCATTGAAGTACTACTTACTGGCAATTTTAAAGTGAGGAATCTTAAAACTTCATATCTGTTTTATTCGATCTAATAAAAAATAGGGTCTCATGCGTAGTCCACTCCCAAAAATATAACCCTCGTTTTTTACGTCAGACATTTTTCAAAAAGATCCCCGATAACCTATATAACAGATGCTTAGTCCCCATTTCCCCAATTTTCTTAAATCAACAATTTTGACAGGTGGCTAATAAAATTCCCGGGCTTTGAGATGGAGCCTCGGGATCGTTCGTGTCTACCAAATTCGTTCCCAAAGGACATCCCGGGAACGTGTTATTTTCTTCACAAGTATTTACACCCGGGCACCGACCCTGCTGCCTCCCAGGTGAGTTTTTATTCCCTTTTTTAACTTTATGATTTTTATAGATAGATTTTCTAGTTTTTGCGTTTATAATAGTGATAATTACGTCTATAGTTTTGTTTAATTCTGTTAGTAATCTAACAAATACAGTTTTTTCAATGTACCTTTTCATTTTTAAACAGCTGTTTGGACACTTATTTCAAGTTTTACGTTAAATTTTATGTCAAATAGGTTATTCAATAGGAATAACCTAATTCATTATTCTAGCTTTTAACGTGTTTTACTTAAATTGTGACCTGTAACTAAATTAAGACTCGATCGTGACCTAACACTAGGTTCAAACGATTTGACTCTTCGAAAACCAATTTCAAGTAACACTCAATTTCGTTTAACTACTAGTCTATCACCAGACTAAATTAAATTAGTGTTTGTCCAAATATTTGACGCTAGAAGTCAACCAAAAGTTTTGTTAAGTGGTGCCCTAATTATTCCTACAAAATTCTAGTCTACGCTTTGAATATTAAGAAATAACTTAAAACTAATTTCTGTTAGTCACTAAGTCAATGTTTTTCTTAATTCTAAACTTTGCAACAGTGTAAATAGCCTTGGCACGGAAAGGTTAGGGCTGTGACAAAGAGGTTTTATAACAAAAAAAGTTGCAAAAAGGTGAAAGTTGAAGGAGAAATACAAAAAATTAATGAATAAGTCAGAGGTTTTATAATTATGAGCTTTGCGGTAGATTGCTGCATCATTATGACGCTGTCGCCATGTTGTTTTTTACATTCAATTTTTAATAGGTATGTGACACACTTGATAGTCGTAAATTTAAGTTTTTTTTTTCATGTAGATAGTAAATGCTACAATAAATAATTCATTTTTTAAATTTAACTTATTACGATTATTTGTTTACTGAAAGATAACGTTTGAAATAAGTTTTAGTTTTCAGTAATTTTATTTTGTGACAATGCGATGTGAAAATGATAAATGGTAATGACATAGATTCTATAGGATATCAATCAATTATTATCAACGATATTTATAGTATTTTATTAGTTAAAGTTAACCCAATAAGGCCAAATACATAAATAAAATGGAACACATAATAATTTTTATTAGAATTTTTTTGTTTGTCCAAAAGTAAGCGCCAAAAATAATTCCGAAGGGTTTATTAGATTGAATACGAACAAACAACTTTTTTGAGTCCATCAAAGTCAGATACCGCTTTTTCTATTTCGACAACTTCCTTATTTCGAACAACCAATATTACCGAAACTTTTATGTTTTTCTATGAATCTTTGATATCCTCGGATTGTTTGTGGTCGTATATTTTTTTTTTGTTTTGTATACAAACTTTTTGGGTTGTTTACGAATTTTTTGTGAGTGAGAATTAAAGTTCGATATGGTGACGTGGATTTTTTTTCGACAGGTCAAGCATATACAGGATGCCTTGAAAGATTTCAACATTGGTCAAACCAAACCAGATGACATAGAAAACGACGAATCCAGTGGAGCAACTGAATCTCAAAACTAAAATTCCAAAATCAAAACAGAATTAATTGTAAATATTTTTCTCATAAATCACTTTGTTCAACAATTTGTTTCATGTAAAAATTACACTTAAATGTTTTAATACTCTTAGTGTTTTAAGCGTTTTTCCTTTGACGTCGTTACGTAAGAATTTTGTGGCTATGTTGTTGAAACTGATTGCTTTCTTATAGATGTAATTTAGTACTAAATAATAATTACTATGATGATATTGCGTACATATTTATTTAATGATGTATAGCGCATTTTATTCACTAATAGTGACATTATTGGAATGTTTGTATGTATTAAAATAATTTTGGAATCTGTACCTGTTAATATTGTTAGGTATTTAGATGTGTATTTCTTATAAATACATTTATTTTCTCTTTATGCTTTTGGAAAACAAAATATCTTTCGCAGATGAAACTATCTTTTTCTAGATTCGTTTTAAAGCTTGAATCGGTATTACCTAGATCCAAAAATTTAAATAATATTTCGGTCAGTTCGGTTCTCTTTTTATTTTTTGCTTTATATGTATAAAAAGTGATTTTGTTATCCAAAGTAGAGATTTTTTAATATAAATCCCAAGACGGTTTAGACCCAACTCATATAATCCGTAGTTCACATAACTATTTCATATTTGTACCAACACATTTTCATATAGAAGTAATTTATAGTGATCTGTGTGAAGCTTTACTATATAATCTTAAGAAATATGTACATACATTTGAACCTGGGATAATTACGACTTACATAGATAGTAATGCGATGCTGTAGATAAAAATAATTGTATAATAAATACGTGTTTTGCTTCTAGATATAACTCGTTCAAATTACATAATAATAGAAAAAAAAAACATTATAAGTACATAAAATATAAAGATTGAATTCGTAATAGAAAATAGTTGCAGCAGATATTTGTAGCATTTTTTCTGATTAATGTAGCATTTTTTTGGCTTGGTAACATTAATAGGCTTGTTTAAAAAATACAACAATGTTTTATGATTTGTAGCGATGTTAGATTCTAAATTCAATTTAAGACATCTATCGTTTCAAATTTCGAATAATGCTAACGGTTTTTCATGTTCGCCATTTTGTTTTTATTTCAAATTATGATTTGTTTTCTTAGTACCTATCTCGATGCTAAGATTTTCGACAAAAACCTTTTTATACTACCTATATTTTATTTTGTAATATTTATTATTATAATATAGTGTTAAGTAAAAATTGTATATTAAACTTCTGAACACTATACATACTTACAAAAAAGCGTATGTTCTAAAATAGTTAATGTGCTTACTACGTACCTTGAATACTGTTAGGTATTGTAATTAATTAAATAAATAAATAAAATTATTGGTTTTCATATCTTTATCAAAAGCTGAAACACTGCGTTCAAGATTACGGGTAAATTAGAACTCATTTTAAGAACCGAAGAACCAAATAAATAGGTTCGAACTATGTCTATAAATAACTTCGTAAGTCAACACTATTTAGACGCTTTATGATAATTATGTAAACTATCAGAACATTGAATGGTTGGTTCTCATTGTAAACGCCATAATATGACCAATTTGTAACGTCATAATTTATATACCTTTGACTTTATCCCATATATCACCATGATATATATAAAATATTCTACAAATTTCTAGATATTCTCTAAGTGTACTCACAGGCTATATATGTACTCAGTATTCTATAATATTTATAGCCATAAACATTCCACATTAAAAAAAAAACGTTTAAATTTTTGCAGTGTTGTGATTTAGCGTATTAGATTAAATTATGTAAAATAAACTGTTTGTTTGTTAAGATAAAGTTCATATTGCTATGCTTGAAAGTGTTTGCGTCACATATCGCATAGGTTACTTTTATTGTTGTCATCTAGTCACTAATTGTAAGTAATTTTAATGTTCTGTTATTCAAATGATATATAACTCTGCATATGACAAAAATATGTTAAAATGTATATGTAACAAGTTATTCAGGATCTTAAGGCTTATTTAGCTATAAAATAATTTGTAATAGTCTATTATATTTTATCGACGTCTAAAATACATTCTGATAAATCTTGAAACTATGTTAAAATAAATATATATAGCATTTAAATTGTCATTGCAGAGTTATATAAAATAATATATCTTTTTGACTAGTAGGTAATTGTCATAATAGTTTTAGAAAATAATTATAATAATAAAATAATAGAGTCTACTTACTTTAATAGACAATAACATTAATATGCATTTTTATCTATCTCCGAATTAAGATTAATAGAGCAGTCAATATTTAGTTCAAATATGCAAGAAATATTATATATATAACAGAAATTACCACACTTGTATGGTATACATCACACGAGTGATATATAAAAGAAATAAAAAAGACCAACATTTTGGCGCGTAACCGCTCTAAAATCGTGGCAAAAACGCCACTGACTGACTGTCACAGATAAATGGCATTAAAACACTTATTGTGTACACAATAAATAGAAAGGTATGGGTTTGAAAAACTTCTATGTATTGTCAATCCCATAGAATGGCCTTTCTATTAACTCATTGAACCATTAATTGCCGTTTGTTTAGGAGGCAGGTAAGTTATGAAGCGTCTTGCTCGTAGCGTCAACGCAGCGTGAGCGTCAACGCGACATAATTATTGCAGAGTCATGGTAAGCTTGATTATGTTTTTATTTAGAGGTATAAGTCACTCGTGTGGTTAGGCCTTCAAGTGATGATGACGTATCCAGAGAGAGGTTATTCTTTGTTCACTAACAATTTGAATATTAAATATAGAACGAAATATAAATAAGGATGCCATATTTTTTTTCATTTTGTAGAAAAATAAGTAATTAAAATGCTTTTGTTGTTATAGAAGACCGTATAATAATAAAACTGAAAGCACTTTATTTCATTTTATTTTTACAAACAGTTGGTAAAATGCAACCTTTAATTAAAATTGTTGTTTGTTCATTGTGTCGAATAAAAACTTGGAAATTATACTCTATAAAAATAATATTCTCCGTGGAATCAAGATTTTTTTACTTTAACACAACCATTTTAATACAATGAATAAAGATTCAATTCACGAGAGACAAAATCTGCATTATATTGTATTTAAATTACCTGAACAAATTGTTAGTTTTAGATTATAACTGCTGCGTTTCTTTCGTAACTGTTCGATTAGTTTCAAGCCAACACTGGGCCCTTAATCAAGAGTCCCATGTGTGAGATAAAACGAAGAATGTCACGCGGCCGACGCTGGCCCTCAGTATGTGGCTTGATGTTAGTCGACTGACCTTTTGGAAACCTTTCTCGGAGGAGAAAGATTAAAATTGTAATTTCTTTGAAAATAAAATGATGTTCTAGTACTATTCTCAACTCTTAATCAAGTCATACACTCTCTTTGTTCGAACAAAAACTAGTGTACCTACTTTAAGACTAGCTTAAAATGAGACTTGTACTAGTCTTGCTAAACATTTGCTAGAAAATATCTCATTACCTGTATATAATATATATCTTCATATAATAACCAAATTCATATACCATATATAATATATATAGGCTTATATAACATATACTATATTAAATATAAACTTGTAACTTTTACTCTGTCTAATAAATGTAAATCTTGTAGTTTATCTATGTGCAAGTAAGAGGATTCATTATTTCGTAATTTACATATATTATGATTAAAAAACTATTGTTATATGCCTAAGAACACGGCCTTCTGTAGAGGATAATAATCACGAATCTTTAAGTCTAATGAAATTAGAGAAAAACTATATATATTTCACAACTATTGTAAGCTATTTATATTTCACGCTATTTCGAACGTGTATCCTTTGTTTTCCTATTATTTTTAATAATAGTTTCTTGCCGTAAGAAACTTTAACTGTGAATGCACTGTTAGTGAAAAACTATAAAAAAAATAAAATGTTTCTTTCATATTTTTTTGTTTTATTTCATTCTACTCTATATATATATAATGCTTAGATAAGAGTTTTTACGCTTGAATATACATAATTTTATTATTGAGTTATTTTACAAATTATTTTTAATACTAGAGCAACTGAAACTTATGCTGCCTCGTTGGCAGAGTGGTCGTAAATACAACTGCCGCGCAAGGGGTCTCCGGTTCGATTCCCGGGTAGGGTAAAGTGCTATGGGATTTTTAAAATATAAAAATTTTCGTGATAGCTCGAAGTCTGGAATTGTGCTCGGTATATGGCAATAGGCTCACCCCCTATTACATGAGACTCATAACATAAATAGTTAAAAATGGATGTTACATTGTACCGTAATAATATGCACCTCTGCCTACCCCTTCGGGGATAAAAGGCGTGATGTTATGTTATGTAATATATATAATAAATAATAAACTTATATTTGGTTAAATTAAAATATCCAAGCTAAATAATATTTCCAGACCTAATTATAGAAAAAATCTTTAGATTTTTCTGGAAAAATGTATCATTTATGATACATTTTTCCAGAAAAATGTCAACGACAAAATGAAATTAATACAAGTAATTGAAAGCTACTGATACCTACACACCACCCACAGTTAAAACAGTATTATCTTATCATCCTTTAACTAATTTTGGTTAAATTTATCTAATCAGAGGCCTAAGTACTGCCTCGTTGGCTAAGTGGTCGCAAGTGTGACTGCTTCGGGTTCGATTCCCGGGTCGGGCAAAGTACTACTGGGTTCTTATTTCTTCACTTCTCCATTCGAATTCTAACTTTTGTGGGGCATATAAAATTACTTATTATGTTTTCTGCTTACTCACGTAATTATTTGATGCATGCTTGAAACCTTGCTAGCATGGCTTGAAACTAGTCGAGTTCCTCGTCAAATAATTACGTGAGTAAGCCGAAAACATAATAATTTATTTACTACCTGGTTTTTTTTTTAAATCTCAATTATAGGACGGAGTCTGGAATTGTGTCCGGTATATGGCAAGAGGCTCACCCCTATTGCATGGGACCCATAACATAAATAGTGACTAATTACATGAAAAGTGGGTGTTACATTGTACAGTGGCATTAAGTGCCGTAATATGCACCTCTGCTCGCCCGTTCGGGGTTTTCTTTTTTATGGCATAAGCCGGTAAACGAGCAAACGGATCACCTGATAGTAAGCAATCGGCGTCGCCCATGGACACCTGGAACACCAGAGGCGTTACAAGTGCGTTACCTGTCTTTTGGGGATTAGGAGTAGGAGGATCGTTGGGGATTCAGGAATTGAGGAGACTGGGGAAGGGGAGGGTAATTGGGCCTCCGATGATAATCCGAAGTATCCGATGATAAAAGGCGTGATGTTATATAAATAAACGAAAATAACTTCTACAATATTTTTCAATAAACAACCTTACTTCGTTGTACGTTAGGTTTCAATCTATTCCAAGAACTTCACTACGACAAACTTTAATTACGCGACGATTCTTTCCATTTCCCCCCTAATTGAAAACCTTAAAAAATACACTCACTTAATTAAAGCAAAACATCGAAACCTTTTAATTATAAATGAAACCTAATATTGTCCAAATAATTACACAAGTTTCGAAACAATCTCAATTTCAAGAGTTTTGCAATCTTTACGTTTACATAAGATCTCGATAATTTTCTTTGGTACAGTGCACAGTGAGTGAGAAACAATTAATATACGTGTGGAAAGTTTAATTGAAAACTGGGTATAATGTGTTTTGTTTATTACTGTTTGGGAAAAGGATTCGTGGAAGACGGAAAACTGCTGGGAACGAGACCATGAAATACGGGTAAAAATGGCGGACTAGAAGGTATATTGTGGTCTGGTTTTTAGGTTTGATATGTATAGGTCAAAGCATTTATTTCAATTAAACCAAAAATTGGTACTTTTGAAACGTCAACGAATACAAAATAAATAATAGTTTGTCAGTCAGTCCGTCAGTGAATTTAGGTGAAGTTGGCTCATTCCAAAATGTAGATTCGAATGGAGAAGAACGAACAAGAAACTTCATTCGTTACTGTTTTAAAAAAAGTATGTTCTAAAATGTCTCTGATACATATTCCAATATTGTACGCATAGGTGAGAACAATGCAAAGATAATCTAGAAGAGAAAAGGTGAGTACTCTATACAGGTCCCTGTGTCGCAGCGAGCCACTGGATGCAGGTCGC